AAATAAAATGGACAGTGTGCATATTAGGATTTTGTAGTTATACTAATTATAAGAAGAGCATTGAGAGTACGTGAATCTCACATGACAATAAAAGTGAAGATTGAAGATTTTGTTTTGATATTCTGAAATTAAAAAAATCAAACTTGTATAAAAAATTTGAATTATAAACTATATTCTAATTATATTGATACATGTTAATAATAAAGTTGCTATATTAAATTTTCAAAATAAGACTGTAAAATGTTGTGACGTGCACAGAACCAAACCGTCTTCATAGAGTTAAAATCACTGTACCTTCTGCTTTATACTATGCCTGTATAAAGTTGTTATAAAAAGAGTTCTATATTAAAGCCATCATAACGTATGCACCCACCCCCAGTGGCACAGCTGTATGTCTGCAGACTTACAACGCTAGAATTTAGGTTTTGATACCCATGGGGGGTAGAGCACAGATAGCCCATTGTGTAGCTTTCTGCTTAATTTCAAACAAACAAACATAACATATGCTTTACTAGTGTAAAATGGTATAAAAACAGGCCCACAATAAACACAACATAGCTACTGCTTCTTAATATTCTAGTATGAACTAGATGTAAGGTAGGGTTATCTCTTAAAAGTTAGGTTATATTATTATTATCTTATAACCTCATACTTGTAGACTATTGATAATGTACAGTTTTCCTGATAATTGCTAGCTATGATTATCTCACATTTTTTGTAATATTATGGTATAATGTCAAACAATAGCATAACTATATACAGTGGTCATTCTTTCGTGTAGGTAGATTTTTACACTTGTTTGCCCATCAGAAAACAAGAGGGTATTCTCAATAGCCATGGCACTTGAAATTCTTTTAGGCAGGATTAGAGTAAATTAATGTATTAAACCTTTTTTTTTTCATTTTATTAGCTGTATCTTTGTGCACCAGCAATACAAAACACGGGGCACACGCATATCTGATTCAATTTTATTACTCATCAGGATCTCTATCAGCCTGCTATCATCAAATTGAAATTATTTTTGGTAGGATTAGAGTAAATTAATCTATGAGACTTTGGGTATGGTCAAATACATCAGTTGAAAGGGTTTGATCTCTTAAATCCCAAATTGTAATTAGATCTCAAATCATTTAAGAGATCACGGAGCTATGAGCTAAAAGTATGTACTTGAAAAACTCGGAGCTATTCTATGAGCCTCTATGCTGTGGCTAAAAATAATTGCCAGACTTAAAATCATTTTTTGTGATATTTTTCAGCTAGTTAATTCAAATATTATTACAATAAAAAATCTTTTATGGTACAGATGTATATAAATTTGTTTCATAACAAGACATTGTTCTTCATACCGCTTTTAATTGTCTGTAATCTTGAACTATATTTTAATAAGAAGAAATCTCAGGTACGAAACTTATAATCAGAGGTGTAATGGGGCTCAAGCAAAAAAAAAAACTAATTAGTCAATAACTACTAGGTAAATTACTTAGTTTTTCCTCTTGTTCTTGATGACAGTAATGTTAGTAGCCTTCCAAGAAATTAAGGAATAATAAGTACACAAAAAATACTGATGCACAAAAGAAATGCACTAAGCATCTTGCAGTTTTATGAAATCACATGACTTTAGCTCAGTATTTTGTTATTCCAAGGTACAGTACTACTCAAACAATCAACAAACCTACCTGCTCACTATTTGAAAGGTAAATTATATTTTATTTGTGCCTAATGAGCTATTGATGAGAAACTCACTGTTGTGTTTTCATTGTGCAACAGTATATAACGTAAAAAGAGATAATAAGTAGAGTGAAATGTTTAATAACTATTATACAAATATTTCTGTGACCAAGTGTTGTATTTTTCAGTTTGCTGATCATATTTTTCAGTTGAGGGGAAGATTTTATTTCAAGAGAAAGCACTGGCTGAGCTATTAGCTTTGTATATTACGAAACAAGGAAAAAAAAGTAAAAGTTATAGTTATCTATACCATGTGACTATTGACTAAATATTTAAGGCTCTAGTTCTTTTTTTTTTTCACTCTGTTAAAATAAATCTAAGCTGGCCAAATCCTGTGAGTGTACCCAACTAAAAAACAATGCATTATTAACTTTATAAATACAGACATAAGAGTGATATATTTTGATAGCTACACTTACTCACTAGTTGTTGGTTTGATCTTTTTCATTTTATTTTTTGACTGGGTAGCTAGTTTATATTATTCAAAAGAAAAATAACTATGTAAGTAGAAGGGAAACGGGCAGCTTTACAATTGTCGATGTTAGTCATAATAATTGTTGTAGTGGATAGTTAAAATAAAGTGTTTTATTGGTTTATTTTTACATCATCATCATAATACTATAATTCTGCTTGTCACTATGCATTATAAGCATGCACAGTAAAAATTTTACCCAAGGAAAACAGTGCTGATTATTTGCCTAACATTTTTCAGATGTCATCCCAGCCAATAATGCGTTACGTAACTTATGGTTGTGGTCAAGCTAACAAAAATAGAAAGTAATTTGTTTTAATTGCTGTTTTCTAGTTTACATCTGCTGCTACTTTTTGAGGTTTACGACAACATATGTTTTCACATGAAAGGTGTTTCTGAATTTAATGGTTGTTCACTGACACTATGTTTGAAATTTCAGGATAGAGATACTTTAATTGAAAGGTGGAGAAATCAGAATATGAAAAATCTCTTGGATCTTCATAACAAGACTCCTGTGTGGAATGATGGTAAGTATATCAACTGGACATGGCTACAAGTACACTATAGATTTTCATTAAACCCATTAAAATATGCTTTCTGTAAGTAGAAATGTACTGAATCCTTATCAGCCTTCCCATATATCATAGTTATACATATTGCATTTTTCTTCTTATTTTCAAACTGATGAACACAGAGTTGATTTATAATGGCTGGAGACGGCTTGAATGGGTAATGAAGAAAAACTTTAATACAAGTTTAACATAATAGCAAATGTACAATGTTTTGACAAGGTTTTGTCATCATCATAGATCATGCTATCCTCGCACTTTGCTTTCCCTTCTTTCACCTGATGATGACAAAAACTTGTTGAAACGTTGTACATTTGCTGTTATGTTAAACTTATATCAAAGTTTTCTTCATTACCCATTCAAGCCATCTCCAGCCATTATTAGTCTCAAAGTGAGTTCCTCGTCATCGAACAGAGTTGATTTGTTATTTACCATAAATTGAACGTACCTCCTAATTATTGTAAAGTATGTTTTATCAGTTTTTCAGGTTGTAGGTTTTGTGAATCTAAAATATGTAGAAAATTGATGTACTTAAAGTATTTACAGAAAACATCATAAACTCATATCTGGTTTCTATGAACTTAAACGAAATATCTTTCAAAAACTAATTTCTATAAAACAAGCATAGTAATTATACAAGAAAGTATGTGTTTATATATATGTGTATCTTTTTTGGTGAATGTGTGTGTAATACATTAAAGCAGTATAAAGACATGTTTCACCAAATATCACATTATAACTATTTTTACAAAGATGATTTTTTTCTACTTCTGTTAATGGTTAAAGTTTTAAGCCCTACAGCTAACTGCAAGATTTAATATATAGCTGTTTTCAATCCCCCCCTCTGTTACCAAGTAATTAATTAGTCGTGAATAAAATAAACCTTAAGCTCACCAGCCAAACCACATCTTAGGTTTAATGTTTAACCTGACTTTAGCCCCATCTTTTATCAGCTGTATAGTTAACCATGAATAAAAGGGTTTGAGATCCCCAACCAGTCCACATGTGGTTTGAGCTCTAGCCTAATTCTAGTCCTTTAATGGTTGTATGAGAAGTCATGAACCAAACATTTTAGGCACAGTAAAAACACAAGTAAGAAGATTTCATAGATAATTTTGTTTCAAGACCCTTTTGGTTGCAAGAGTGAAGAAGGAGATTTAGGTTTGCAGCTAGCTGAGTAAAATGCTTGATGGATAATTTTCTTTCAACCATTATTATAGACAATATATATGGTGTATGCAATACACACAAAACTACTAACAGAATTAGCTTGGTCAAGTTACACAATCATTGAGACTTTCAGAAATAAGTACACAGGCCTGCAAATTTAAACATTATAAAAGTTGTTTGGGTTTTAATAAAGGTTTTCCATTATTCAGTTATGCAGATTTTGAAAATAATATTCATTTTTTTCTATCACAGAAGGATTTTTTACAAATCGGGAAGGAAAAAAAACTCTTACTTAGATCAAATTATTATTTCGTTTACCACAATAAACATTTTTTATTATTATGTTTGTTAACAAAATTACAAACAAACTGAAGAAAAGGGAAGAACATTGATGTCAAATGAATATACATCCTCATTCATCCTCTATTTTTTGTGAAATATACGTCTTTTAGTCTCAAAACTACGTGTTGTGGTCTGTCTTTTATGTATTGCATTATGATGTTTTGTGAAAAATCTGCACACAATGGAAAAAAATTGATATTATTTTCGGATTTAGCGTATAGGGGAAAATAATTTTAAATATCCTGGTTTCCGAGCAGATATTTTGTGGTAAACTTTCATGTTATTCTGTTTCAAATTTCATAAAATATTAGTATGATACTGGTTTTAAAGTTAAATAAAATTATCTTGTAATTACTAAAAAATGTATGCATAAATTTGTAAAAGTAAGTATAATGGTAATCTTTGATTAAATATAGTAAAATGATGTGTTTTTGGTTTAACCAAACTTAAAATATTACACTTTCAACTTTAGGTAGGAAAACAATATCCACTGATCTAAGGATAACACAGGCATGCAACGGTTTTATTGTCTTGATATTTTTACATTTTATACAGTAGTTAAACCTTTAAATCATAAATTTGTATATAATATGACCAATATTTGAAGTATAAATGATTACATTTTTATAAGAACATAAAATCTGATTTTCACTTAGTATTTTTAAATAAGAAATGTGTACTGAATATTTAATGTTATTTTTATAACTATCTTCAAATCAGTAATATGACTTTGAACTTGAATTTTTCTGTTATAATTATACTCAAACAACAAATCTGAATTTGAATCAACTTTACACAGAAAACTTTGGACATGACCAGGTGGTTAGGGAGCTCACTTGCAATCTGCAGGTTGTTGACTTGAATCCCCATCCCACCAAACATGCTTGCCCTTTCAGCCGTGGGGACATTATAATGTGATGGTCAATCCCACTATTCATTAGTAAAAGAGTAGTCCAAGATTTGGAGATGGGTGGTGATGATTAGCTGCCTTTCTTCTAGTCTTTCCTGGCTAAGTTAGGGATAGCTAATGCAGATAGCCCTCATGTAGCTTTGTGTGAAATTCAAAACAAACCAAACAGAAAACTAACTTCATGCTCTTCTTATTTTGTGTTACTTTCAAATCCATTTATATTAGAAGTTTTGATTTATTATTTCACATTGTCATGCAGTCATAAATGATTATTGAACTCTATATGGTTTCATTTCACTCTGAACATTCAATATCGTTTTGATCATTATAATTTCAGAAACACAGTCGTATGTTTTGAATTTTCATGGGCGAGTTACCCAAGCTTCTGTGAAGAATTTCCAACTTGTTCATGACAATGATGGTGAGTTATATATACAGTGAGAAATAAAAGAATGACAATCTCTTGATCATAAGTTAACTTATTATATCAATACACTGAAGAATAGGCAGCTATTCTGCCACTGTTAATTTTAGTTATGTATGGATCATTTCTTTATAGCCAGAAAATAATACAAATCTTTTCACCAACAAATATGAGTGATGTTGCCCCTTGTGGCTCAGTGGTAAGTCTGATGGCTTATACTGCTCAAAATCATTTTTCAATACTTGTAGTGAGTAGAGCACATATAGCTTATTGTGTAGCTTTGTGCTTAACAGTAAACAAAAACATGGTGTTTAAGTATGTTAATAATAAGAATATTTTTGTATAGTATTTGTTTTAGTGTAGTATGTAAAAGGCTTATATCACTCACAAAAACTAAAGGATAATGAGATCTTGATACACTTTTTCGAAACAAATATCACGGGTGAACAATACCAAGCAAGTCAAAACTTTTTGTACAAATAACAAAACACAAAGTTAATGAAAAGTTCCAGTACTTAGATGCGTAAATATCAAAGAGAAAATACTGTATTTAAGATGAACAAACTTAACAAAACGAGTCTTTTAGTTGCTGGTAGGTCCTCCTCTATTGCTTATGACGTTTCAAAAATTGTTCCTCATACTGCTGACTCGGTAGAAATGTTTCTTCATCATGTAAGAAGCTTGGGCACAGAAAGTTCTTGATTGCAGCAAATGCAGACATTATCAATTAGGCATTGGCAGCAACTGCAACTTAACTGTGCAGAACAGGCTGGGTCAGAACCAAAACTATAACTGTAATATGTGATTCTAACTTTGGCTCAACTATTTCAGGCACAATACTATGATATCTTATTAATTCTTATGCTTGTGTAATTTTTCGTAACTTGGCACACCCTTCTTGGTGTAGTATGTATAATTCCCGGGTGAGCCTAGAATCCAGATCACTTGACCTCTGGTCTGCAAGTACTCCACTGCTTTCCAGGACTCGAGTTTCCTTTTGTGATTTTGTTACTTTTTCACCACATTTTTTTCCTTTAATTAAGCATGTGTTTTTGTGATCTGAATTTCTCCATTATCTTATTTGGTTATCCAGTACACTTATTAATGTTAGTACTGGAAGTCTTTATTCCCTTATTTGGTTAGCTAATGTATGTTATATTTTTCTATGGCATTCAGTTCACTATTATTATTGCTTTATTGTTTTACCTTCATCCTAAAAAAAGTTGCTGCATGATCTTGGTAGTGATACACAAACTCATCTCTGACAGCACTAGCAAAAGGAGCAAACAATGGGTAGCAGGATCTCATCCTCGTAACATTATGCTGTAAGAGATTCTCCATTCACCACATAGAGATCTGTATACCCCTGCATGCAGATGCCACGACCGTGATTGAGCCAACCTCAAAGGCTGATTATCACTCTCCTTCACATTTCCAGACCCTCACATGTCGATTACTTGGAGATTCACAGAACCTAATTTCATCTGTGAATAGTAGAGGGGACAATTGCTGAAAGGTCCAGGTGATACGTTTCTGGGAAAATGCCAACCAAGCTGTTTTGTACCTTGGAATTAGTACAAGGGATCTAACTGGTATCCTCAAGGAACCTGTTCCTGACCATTGAGCACAATACACTTACTCCAGTGGCTTACTGAAGCTCATTCCTGTGATTCCTAGCATTGCTGATGTGGTTTCTAAGGGCTATATTTTGCAGATATCAATCATCTACTGCTCCTGTAGCCCTGGCCTTCTGGTGTATTCTATTGTGGCGTGGTATCCACACCATAATCTACTGATCAGAGATTGTGACCCCCCTCTCCATGGCCTGAGCCACATCAGTCTGGGTGTGTTCCTCTTGTAGCAGTGTGATAGCTCTACAAACTTCAGTTCAGGTTAATTGGTTTATAACAGTTTGCACATTCTTTGCAGGAGTCAATACCAGCAAAAAAAAAAATCTAAGAATGTATCATTATCTCAACAGTAAACATCTTTCCTAATCAGTCAAACTATCCTTTTGTGTTGCAGAATTTGAATCATTTCTCATAAAGGTCTATTATATAAGGAGTCATTGGTACATAAACTTGCAAACCATGGGTAGGATTAATGTAATCTTCTACAATAATCATACCAAATTAGAAAAATTTTGATAACCTAATATGTAATATACAAATTTAAACAAACCTCATTGTCCTTTAATTTTTGTGAGTAATTGGTGTTATCTATTTATCTATGCATTAAGTATCTGAGTCTGCATATCAAGGTGACTTTCAATTAGATTGCTTTGCTTCACTATAAGTACTCAAATTTTTCTAGAATAAAATTCAACCAACAGCTGAACATCCTTTTGTGTAACGTTATAATCGGTTAGCTACGTGTTAAAAAATGTATTAATTTTTAGGTTTTCAATATCTTTTTAGTGGACTACAACATCATGCAGTTTGGTCGTGTTTCTGAAGACATCTTTAGTATGGACTATAGTTATCCTTTATGTGGACTTCAAGCTTTTGCTATTGCCATCTCAAGTTTTGATAGCAAGCTTGCTTGTGAATAATCTAGTCAGAAAATTTATGTAAGGGGGGGGGGGGGAATAATAACTTCTATAAACAGTAAATTGGTTGAGCTTTATGCCCTTGTGAGGCAAGCTCACATTTCCTGTATCTCACTGGAAGTATTGAAGTTTCTCTGATGAGAAAGTCTAATGTTTAATAATGAACTTATTTCTTGCCATTCTACTGCAAGCTCACATGTCCTGCATTTTACATGGAAATAGTGAAGTTTTTTTCTGAAATGGAAGTCATAATTTTAATGATAAACATACTTTGTGCCATTCTGCTGCAAGCACACGTAGAAATAAATAACGTTTTTTTTTACATGGAAATATTAAACTCTTGTTTAAAAATATCATCACTGATAGAAATATTCAGTGTAAATCTATATCTTAAATTAATATACTGATTTTAGAGTTTATGTGTTGTAGTTTGTTTCTTGCACCTCCAATATCTGTATGAAACATGTTGAAATACATATCATTTCCATTGTAAATGTTCACATAAGTTATTCATGTTGAAGCTTTTACACTGTTCAGCATACCGTTTTTAATAAATGTATGAATATGATATTGATTAGAACTTTTAAACCTTTTTTTTTTTATCCAATTTCTCTGTAAACATTTTGTTGTAATGTAGAAATCACCAGATGAGCTACAGTTACTCAAACTATGAGTACTGTAAACCTATATTTTGAAAACTGATTAGTATTTTCAAGTTTAGAAAAGCAGAAATTACTTTTTTTTATCTTACATTTAGTTTCTTCATTGTAAAACTAGGTAATTAGTTAATATCAAACATACAATTAAGTCTTTCAAGATATTATTGTTATTTTTAACATACATAATCTAAAAAAGTAAAGTTTGCCACTTGTGTATCTATACCCTATTAACAATTTTACTAAATACTTGTCTTCCACATATAGCTCAGAATTTTAATGCTTCGGGCAATTATATATTTTGAAACGCCCCATCCTAGTCTTTCAGAATTTACTCCGTTTAGAGTATAATACCTGGTAAGTGTTCCAAGTTAATCCTTATATTAAACTGTCTGAAACCACCAACTCCACATCATTCTTGTCATCATTATTATGTTCATTTATTTTAAGCAGCTTGTAAGTAAAAAGAAAAATAATACAATCCAAGCATTTACAACCTAAAAAGAAAAAATCAGTCAAGACTTGAATGTTTAAAAACTGGTGAAATATTAGAAACCAATAAGCCAAACATTTCTGATAAATATTATGTAAACTGCAGCTTTGTTTCACATTCCTATTAATTTGTCCATTTCAAGGTTGAATAAAAATGTCATTTCAGATCTGTCTTTTGTTTTCCACAAGTTACTGCCTTGGATGCCTCTTGTTTAATACCAGAACTCATCAACTGGACTGGATGATGAGATGATGTAGTTTCTTTGAAATGCTATTTGTATCTACAGTATAAGAATTTAAAATTTTCCATTTAAGTGGAAAAGCTGGTGATGCATTGGATATCAATAGGCCTAACATTTGTAAAAAACATCACATAAACTGGAGTTGTTAAGCTTGTTGGTTTCCAGTGCTTCCTAAAAGGAATTTTATAGAAACTTTCGTCTCTCAAACTGACGAGTTTCAGTATTGATTGAAATACCTTTTGACCAGTAACTTGTTACAGATAAAAGTTATAGAGTTGAAATGCTATTTTTACCTACCTCTGATATGGAATCCAAAACAGACAAATTAAGAGGATGAGATAAAAAAGAAATATTTGCAGTTTATATATTTATCACAAATGTTAGGTCTACTGATTTTAAACAACTAAAAATACGCACTACTCTTCGTAGCTTCCAACTCTTAATTAGTTCATTTATTTAAGTCCTTGCAAATAAGCCTTTCTGTTAATTTAGATCTAATGCTAAAATCTGTTTGCCCTGCAACATTTTGTAAGTGATGTAAAATACTTTTTAGCAGTCATGTATCTGTGTTAGACTATAAAAATATGAAGAATTCTACTTCTCTTTAAACACATTATTCTTTCTTTTTCTGTGTTTGTTTTTTAAGTCTTTCATTCACTGAAAGATCACTTGGAAAAGTTAGCCCAAGCCAATGTTTAGGTTGTCAATAATGATACTCATTTTCCATGAAATATGCATATGTTGACCTCTTATTTCTCAAAAATATAAATGTATGTGCATTACTGTATAATATTTAAGGCCTACCATTTTTTATAAGTTAAAATTGCTTAAAGAAACTATTCTGTTATTTTTGAAAATATGTATTATATACACTTAGACACTTAAGCTATTATAGTAACTTATATTAAACAGTTAATATATATATATTGTGAATACTTGTAAGGCACAATTACTGCACAGTGTCCTGTTGGCTTTTACTCATTGCACATCAGTCACATCTATAAATCTTAGAAAATTGTGACTGTGAAAAAAAACATCCCTGAGAATTTGTTGTGTGAAAATAATATATTGTTTTGTTTACTTTGATTGTTAAAGTGGAATATATTTTTGTGATTTTATTAGAACATTTTGAGCCAAACAAAGTTGTAATGGTCGTAGAAAATATGATTTGAATAATTGTATATGAGGTGGGCTATAGCAAACTTCCCATCTCCCCCCTTCAAAAGTAACACAACAAACTTTCTTCATGATTCAACTGTACATATTTTCTTTATCACTGAATTAATCAAATTTTACAAATAATTGACATGTCCTCCATCATTATCAATACATGAATTACAAGGAAATCTCATGAAACACAACAAAATTAGCTCACTGTGGCCTACCTCGTATAACAACAAGTTAAGGAGAATTGTGTATGGTTAAATAGCTGCTTCGAAACTTCCCTGAATAGAAAGTTAAAATGTTGCACATCTGAACACATAATAAATCAGTTAAATGTAATATTTATATTTAACATTATTTGGGAACATTTAAATAATGTATCAGCTTGGTTTTTCAACTATAGATTTGGCTCAACATTTGATTTTATTTTTATACATTTATAATATGAGTAAAATGTAAGTAACCTTACTGGATACATGAGTGATATTGTTATTTTCCTTGCAGTGTAATGACAAAATCTGTATATGTTCTACTTGACTGACTTCACTTTAATTTGGTTTTTAATTAATTAGCTGTAGACGAAAAGTTGTTTTTATAGGTACTAGTTTTTGTCATCCTAGGTCAAATTTTTTCAGTGTTTTGATATTACAGATTTTCTAATTACAAGTCTTGTTGAATTACTAATTGTTGATTAGGGAAAAATTTTAAGTTTTTATGGAATGTTGTCTCTCTTTTAATTCTGATTAACATAGAACAAGTGTTTAAGAATTCACAATATTTGATAACATATCAGATTTTATCATACTCTGTTGGGTTGAGTAATAGTTTACTATTTATTGGAAGATCCTATGAACAAAAACGTGCTCCGAGGCTGGAGCCACATGATTTGCAGAGTGATAGTCTCCATGATCTGGAGGTGTAGTTACCAAATAGAAAGACAAGATCCATTGTGAGAGTCAGACTTCTTTCATTGGTATTGTATTTTATTTACAGCTCCTTCTGGAATATTTCAGGGTTATAGAATATTTGGCTATCAATGTCTATTTGTCCATGATTGAAACATGCTTTATCAAAACCGGATAAGTATTTTGTAATAGTTTCTGCCGTAATAGTTATAAAATGCATTGGATTAATAAAGTTTTGGCTTTCTTTTTTTTCACAGTGTTAGGAGTAACACTTGGTGAAATTGCTAAAATAATTGTAACTAAGAATTAAGCTGATTTTACTAATGTACCCTGCTAGGTCAGTAGTAAGTGTATAGACTTACAACATTAAATCTGGGGTTCGATTCCCCTTGGTGGACAGATCACAGATAGACATTTTATAGCTTTATGCTAAAGAAAAACAAATTTACTCACACATAGAAATAACAGTGGTATAGAGTATTAAATGAGCTATTATTTCTAAAAGCAACATAGGTGTAACTGTAAAATATCTAGATATATGAAATACTCTCTTGCAACGTAAGGTATTCCAAGAAACTGCCTATGAAAACAAGGAAAGAATGTGAATTTTTCTACCCAAATACATCTAAGTCTTACATACATATATAATGATATACATAATGTTTTTACCCACTTTATTCTTGTTGCCAAAGATATCAGTTGATGTTTTTTTTTGCCAATGTTTCTTTCATATTTTCAGTGATGTTTTATTGATGTACACACTTAATTGGGTTTTTGTTTTTTCGTGTTTGTTTGTAATGAAATTTCAAGTTTCAGCTGTTGCTTAAATTTTGGAATATATAAAGTTGATAAAGAAAACTGAACATTTCACTACAGAATTCACTGAAAACGAAGTGATATCCAACCAAATGCATCCTAGTAGTATTACCCTCCGTCTTCTTATATACCCATTCTCAGTTTTGTGATCTAAAAAGTTAATATGTGTAGATATATGCTGATGTGTACAAATATATAATTTATATAGTTACCATCATCTATAGGTATAATGTGTGAATAATAAACATTTGTAAAACTCAAAAGTATGTCTTGAATGAATATAATTTATCATTATCAAAAAATAATGGTTAGAGGTGCTATATTCTTGTATATACATCTACATTAAACCAACAAAAAAAACAACAACAACAACCATAAAACACAACTTTTTAAGTCGGACTACAATAACCTGAGCGTTATCAGTGGTGGTTTAGGTGTTAAACCAGGGGTGTTCAGGGATTTTGGTATTCCTCTTCATCCCGCTTTTGGCTGAGATGTTATGTTTCTTCAGGTGTAAAGGTTAGTTAGATTTTGGCTTGTTGGTGTTGTGTTTCTTCAGGTGTAAAGGTTAGTTAGATTTTGGTAGTTGGTGTTGTGTTTCTTCAGATGTAAAGGTTAGTTAAATTTTGGTAGTTGGTGTTGTGTTTCTTCAGGTGTAAAGGTTAGTTAGATTTTGGTGGTTGGTGTTGTGTTTCTTCAGATGTAATGGTTAGTTATATTTTGGCTGGTTGGTGTTGAGAGGAAGACAAGAAAAACAGAGGAGTATAGTGGTTCAGCGGTAAGCTCTTAAAGCTCATAGCACTAAGATACGGGACTTGACACCTGCGCAGATAAGCCATTGCACAGCTTTGCTCTTGACAACAAACAAAGACCTCTGCCTAATATGGCATTACTTACATGATTAAAGTAAGATATAGTGATAAAAAAAGATGTCGAACTAACTGATTTGCCAGTGAATTGCAATTTCTCGTAATTTAATCCTTCATTAAAGCCTGAAATATATCATCTGGTACTTTTTATTGCTTCCAAAATCCTATTCTATACGATACACGTGTATTGACTCGAGAATTACCTTAATTTCATACTATATTTTGCACTTTCTCTTTTTGATAACGCAGTAAAATTGTGATATCAACACCACGTCAATGAAAACCCTTGCGCCCAAAAGTAAATATTATCATAACAATGTATTGTTTAGACAGACATGTAATTTTTAAAGGCTGCACTTTTGACGCTCTGTAAGCGTGATTTATTATTCTGAACTAAAACTTATATATTTATTTCACGATTGCTGTCTTTCTCAATCACTTCTTTTAAGACGAGAAGAGGAACGCAAGGTTCTTATTATGTTATACGAATAATACAGTATCACAAGATTTTCGAGCAATTATATTGTTGTAAAGAAGACTGAAAACGGTAATACAATATTATCAACCGCTTGTAGTGTTCTAGGAAGACAGTAACGCAAGATACTCGAGCAGTCGTATTGTTGTAAAGAAGATTGTGAAAACGCGAATACAATAGCATCCACCACTTGTATTGTTTTTGGAAAACGGTAACGCAAGATTCTCGAGAATTTGTATTTTTGTAAAGAAGTCTGTGAAGACGGTAACGCAATATTATCGACCGCTTTTATTTTTCTAGGAAGACTGTATCACAAAATTCATATTTATGGAAAAGCTACGTAGGCTATCTGCCGTCTTACCTAATTTTGAACTACTGGCCAAGGGGAAGGCAGCCAGCCGGTCAGCACCACTCGCCATCCATTCTACAGGATAGACCGCCATATATTACACACCCACAGCTTAAAATTCGAGGGAGGGCTATATTGTGTTATTGTATGGATTAGAAGCCATTTCGTCATCTCCGAAATACAGTTTTACCACACGGCCAACTTGCGCCCTAATGCAAGATTCTCAAACATTTTTATTGTGTTGAGAAGAAAGGAACACAAGATTTAGGAACAATGACCAGTAATGTTGCTAATACTAGTGACGCAAAAGAGCTATCAAAATAATTCTATTTTGCCTTAAATTAATTTTTTCTAGCTTGGAATAAACAATTATTACTTATAATTAATTTGAAATAAACAGTAAAGGAAACTTAATTAAGAAATAAGTGTGTGTGTGTGTGTGTGTGTATACATATATATATATATATATATATATATACTACACACTAACTAAAGTTAAAGTAAAGAAAGAGAACGAACAACTAACTTAACGACACCTAA